GAATAGGTGTTAAACAACCTCTACCAATTTTAATTAAATTAAATAATTTCGTACCTATCCTATTTAATATTGTTCTCAATCAGAGCACACCTAAAGTAAGAAGATAAAGTTTAATTCACATTCTATTTGCATAAAAAAATAACGAAATATTTGCTTAAAATACTTATTTTCGTTTCCTTTTAATAAGCTGCTGATTTATCGGTATGTGGTAATAAACATCATTGTGGTATGAAGCACCGCAAATGAAATCCATGGAATAACATACTGCAGTCGTAAAATAAACTTTATGTGCCGTTAACAGAGTTTTTACGGGTGTGTAATGTATGATATAACTACATATCATATAATACTTAGAGGATATAACATCAAATTATATAAAATCTTTTAATATAATAATTATTTACTATAATAAACGAATAATATAATTTTAAAACGAATAATTTTAAGACAAATAACTATTAACTGATATAAAATGGTTTGATATAATGCATATTTTCTATAAAACTTACAATGTATACTATTTAAAACAAATAACATTCAAATCATATAAAAATAAAATGTCGAACAATCAAATGAGATAAAATTCTTTTCCTATAAAACTTAAATCATATAACAATAATAATTTTATATAAAGTTCATTTGTTATAATAAGCATTGCATGCAGCAAGCGAGCAAGCAAGCAAGCTAGCAAGCAAGCTAGCATGCAGGCAAGCAAGCAAGCTAGCAAGCAGGCAAGCAAGCAAGCAAGCAAGCAAGCAAGCAAGCAAGCAAGCAAGCAAGCAAGCAAGCAGGCAAGCAGGCGAGCAGGCAAGCAAGCAGGCATGCAGCATGCAAATTTGACTAAAAACTTGAGACTTCTGTCACGGCTCCGGCACTGCGGGGCTCTGGCGGTCCCTCGCGTGCTAATCGTCGCAGATGGCTTTCGCTCGACACCGCGTCTTCGGCTTGCTGGCCGGCTTCGCCGGCCAGCCTCAGCCGCGGCGCCTCGCTTCCAGCCACCTGCTCCTCAGCCCGCGGGCCGCCTCGCCCCTCCGTGCCTACGCGCTTCTAAATTACACTCTAGGGGTAGGGCAGACAAGACTACGTGGAGTCGGTTTTACGGCGATTCGTTTTTGTCACTAAAGTCATTTATAAGTCAAGCTAAAGAAGAACATACTTAAAGTTATATCTATCAGAAATTATATCAATTAAAGAGTATAACAAATAATATTTATTACAAGTAATGGTTATGTGAAATAATATTTATATTAAACAAAATTACATCAAATGAGTCTTAGATTAAGTAAGGTTTATATCAAATGTCTTTATGCGTTGTGATTGGTATCTGAAATGATATTATTAGAAATGATTTATTATGTGAAGTAAACATTATATGTTAAAAAATTATATCAAGTGTTATTATAACATACGTTTATTATACAATATGAACGTTATTGAAATGAATTTATATCATATAAACTTATATAAACTGTCACGCACCCAGTTTTTACTGCATTGTTTATCGCCCCACGTACTGGATGTGTAAATTTTTATACATGAACTAGCATTTTCTGAACCAGTGCGGTAAATGCTATATCAACATTTTTTGTTTGAAAATGTAGTAAATCAAATTAACGATTCGCTTATCTTTCCAATATTTCGAAATAACAAGTTAGGTATCATAAATGTACTTTTTAGGGTTCCGTACTTCAAAAGGAAAAAACGGAACCCTTATAGGATCACTTTGTTGTCCGTCCGTCCGTCTGTCAAGACCCTTTTTCTCAGGAACGCGTGGAGGTATGAAGCTGAAATTTATATCAATTACTCAGGTCTACTGTCCCTTGAAGCTGTGAAAAAATCAAACTTCTAAGCCAACGCAATCAAAAGATACAGCCGTTTATGCCGCAAATTTTCGACACTTGCAAGGGAATCAAAACCTACAGGGTGCTTCCCGTGAACTCAGAATCTTGAAATTTGGTACGAAGCAACGTCTTATAGCATAGATAAAGGAAAAATTACGAAAACCATAAATTTTTGGTTACATCACAAAATATATATATTTTTAATAATTTTAAACTTACTACCCATTTCCTCATAAACGCGTAGAGGTATTAAATTGAAATTTATACCAAATACTCAGGTCTATAATACCTTTAAGCTGTAACAAAATCAAACTTCTATGTCAACGCAATCAAAAGAAACAGCAATTTAAGCTGCATATTTTGAAACTCGCAAGTACTCGCAAGGGAATCAAAACCTAAAGGGTACTTCCAGTCGACCTAGAATCTTGAAATTTGGCATGAAGCAACGTTTTATAGCACACATAAAGGAAAAATTCCGAAAACCTTAAATTTTTAGTTACATTACAAAATATATATTTTTTAATAAATATAAACTTATTACTTTTTTCCTCATGAACGCGTAGAGCTATCAAGTTGAAATTCATATAAAACCCGTGAAAAAAAACAATTCTAAGTCAACGCAAAAACGCAAAACGCAAAAGTACAACCATTGATAATGCATATTTTGAAACTCGCAACTACACGCAAGGGAATTAAAACCTAAAGACCACTTCCCGTTGACATAGAATCTCGAAATTTGGTAAGAAGCAATAGCTTACAGCACAGGTAACAGAAAAATTCCGAAAAGCTTAAAATTTTAAGTAGTTATACCACCAAAAAAATTGTGATTGTAAACATAATTTTAGTTACAGCAATGACAAACGATAAAGAGATCTTTGTCTTAAATTTATGCTCCTCCATTTTTCCCCATTGTAATGTTATGAATTTCATTTTGCAATAAAAATACCATAGTTATGATGACTCGATTGACGTAATGAACGAACTTTGTAAACCTTGCAGGTTTGTACGGAACCCTCGGTGCGCGAGTCCGACTCGCACTTGGCCGGTTTTTTAATACTATTTGGGTAGCTTATATTAAAGGATTTTGTTGATATAAAATTACTTTCATTTTACTCAAAAGTAGCGTACATAGTACCTTATAATGTAAGCTTTAAGCTCTGCAAGCTTACTGAAACATCAATACGTTTTTTTGTAAGAATAAAATATAGTTTCAAATGGCAAATTCAATGTAAGGGTTTATGCAGTGGCTTATTTACCTTTGGTAAAGTAATAAATTATTTCAAGTCAATTTATTTTTGTGTAAATCTAAAAAATCCATAGAAAGTAGGTAACTTTTCGACTTAATCACGCCTTGGAAGGATATTTTCCTATACCAGTGCTCTTTTCCACCCACGTGCAACGAAACTTTTCCTTTATGAGAAAACGTATCGCTTCGTTACTTATGAAGTACCCAACAGTAGCTTTATTTATTTTTATGCGTTACCTAAGAAATCTTTATATAAACTAGAGAATAAGACTTGAAGGAAATGCACGTGTTGCATAAGTTTTCTTTAATAACTTCAATGCCATGCTACAATACTTTTGTTGATAATAGCATAGTTTGATACGTTTATGACAGGGACAACGCTGAGGACAAAAATTATAGTATTAAGTATATTAATGAGCATTTAAAAATACCTACCTATCTACATATAATGTGTAGATAATGTAGAGACGTAGATCACCAATCAAAAAACCCGTTTATAGGTATTCCATCCTTCATCGATTTTGCATCAAATAACGCCAGTTCATTACTACTTTATCCTGGTACATTTTGGACTGTGGTACAGTCGCTATAACATCAAAATAACACTGTTGGTGAAAATAACACCTGTTACAACTAGATAAGACCCCTAAGTGTTTATGTTCATGTGCAATCGACTTTAGTATTTAATAATATGCAGTGAAGTAAAAACAAGCGCGTCATACATGTCATAAAATGTCAGTTAGTTCGCCTACGTGACGCCTCGTGTAAAAAGCTGCACGTGTGTGAACGAACACTCTGATGGAAATGTAACAAGTATATTTATTTCGCACCAATGGATCTTGAGAGATGTTAACTTCATCCGATTAACATTGAAAGCGAACTTACTCTATTAATCCTACTAGATGTAAAACAAATGAAAAGCATTTAACAATATCCACCATCAATAAGAATATCAGAGTACCATTCGCCCTAAGTTCTATACTAAATCTTATTTAAGGCTTTTCCAAATTTTTCCCTTTCAGCCTCTATGTCCCAAGGCTAAAATACATTACAATACCCTAAGGCCTTTTCAAGCCACGACTGAGGCATCTTTCGGGAAGCCTTGCTCTATCATAGAGCATTGTATCCCCCGGGCAAAATTATTATCAGGAGAAAGTCTATACCTATTACTGCCGATTTATATCGTAATATACGAGTACAACGCTTTCAAAGACTATTGGCGCGTGCTATCTTACCTACCCTCTTAGCAATTAGTGTCACTGGCAGGAAAGCTCTGGGCTGGTATGAAATAACGGCTTCTCTCGACGATACTTACAACGTTCAGAATTCGATATCTAAAAGAAAAATCATCACACCTACCTTTACTTTGAATTAAACTATAAACATTAATTTCAAAGTTGTTTTTAACAGTACTTACCTAAATTTCAATTAAAATTAACGAGCAATATTTCAAAACTTAAATTAGTTTGCTATTCATAAATTAACCTTTGTGTGGAGGTAGGCAGCCAGTTCAGTTGGGTTTGTATTTTAAACTTTGAACAGAGAGTAAAGAGGAACTCCCATAGTTTCGTTACCCGAGTTAGTTTCACCTGTGGTTTCACTTTAAAAGTCTAACTTTTCTCTTATCATACCATATTTATTTAATAATTTAAACTGCTTCTATACATAATAAGAATTATATACCTATATGATTGTGTTTTTTTATTCTTCAAAGACGATTGGGAAAGGATCTTAAATAAAACAGATTTTTATAAACAAACTTTTTTGGCGTTGACTTTACTTGACTGAAATTCGTGCGTACAGTGAACACACATTATTTGGTACAATTGAAATGACATAAAGTAGAAATGATGCTAAAAATTACAAACATTTTAAGACATTGTATTTACAAACTTTTATTTTTATTCAAAAAGTAATAAAAGTCTAATCTTACATGCATACACGATGAAATATGATGGCAATCGCTACCCGCTTATTATGTTGACCCTGTCAATATTAATATTAACTATTAAACAGTAAGTGCAAATAGCGGGTATACAATAGTGAGTACTTAAACGTGACATAAATGCGTAGTCTACTTTACTCTTCAAACTATAATACAAAGTATACAATTAACGTTTTGGACCCTAGAAGTAAAAAAATATCTGAGTAATTTTGTTCAGACATACATAACTATAATACAAAATGTACAGATTGTTACTCAAATGCGACGATAGAGAATTCTAGATCTTGCGTCATGGCTCATAAGACACAAAATCTAGAGAAAAACACAAACACTTAAAGATATCTACTTAACTACCTAAGAAATTTATAACAATTCTATGAAGTAGGAAATTTACATCGCCTTACTAATAATACAATATTATACCGTTAATAACTATAATAGTAATCTTCAACTAATTTAGAGAGCAAGATTAGGTACCTGTAAAAGAAAATAATTTCATTAATTCAATGTTATATTTTCAGGCCAGAAAGTTAAATTTTATATTGTGTGCGACAAGTTTTAATGTAAGAGGCCTATGAAAAATTTTCTAGACCGTTTCTGGAATAAAGTTGAAAGTTTTTTACTCGTTCATATCGGCTGACATGATAAATGACAGTCGCTATCGCTGGCTCGACACGCTATCGACGGGCAAATAGGGAAATTTCGCTCAACGATTAATTGACGTATTTATAATCGCACGGGTAAAATAAAAGATGAAAAACGACCGAGTTGTGACAATAGAATATTTTTTGATTGAATGCATTTTGATGATTTCCGTGAAAAAAAGGAAAGGGAACGTGAAAAACCCGTAGTTGAATTTGAAATAATTATAAAAATAAATGTGGGTACCTACATCATACAGTTTTTGACCTTCAAGTGAAAATCTGAAAACTTGGCAACGAAAGTAGTAAAAGCTAGTATTGCCTTCATTTAGACATAACATTCTTGAGGTACCAATTTCAGAGGAAAATGTAAAACTTTATGAACCCTCGGGCGTCAGACATCGATGCTGTCGAACCCAGTTTAAAGTTTATTTCTTAAGTTCAACCGAGTGATTTTGTATTTTCCAAAGCCCGGATTAGCTACTTCAGTCAGTAATGAAACAATCATCTTGGATTTTCCCTTCTTGTTAGACTTTCAGTTCTTGTTAATAATTAGAAAATAATAAAAATAAAACTGTTTAAATGAGAGAGTTGAAAAGCAAATCAAATTCTGTATTACATAAGTCAAAAAATAAACTTTTTTAAAAACAAGCTTTTATTCTGAATTTCGAAAGTTTGTACCGCGCATGGAATTTATTCCTCTTTTTCTCTGTTTGCGCTACAAGCTTTCGAAATTCAGAATAAAAGCTTGTTTTTAAAAAAGTTTATTTTTATTATAATTTTATTTTACACTTTTTAGTTATATCTTAATCTCAGTACCCTGGACATTATCTAACACTAAAGCTCTCGAAAAGAAAAATCCAACGAACCCAAACTCGATGAATTTCCGCCGTTTTGTTTAGGAGTTCCTATGGCCACCTCCCGACTCCATCATCAGACCAGCTCAATGGTACCATAATATTGCATTGTCAAGTATACCAAATTTCAGTCAATCGGTTGAGGAGAACTGGTCTTAAATTCAGTTGCAAGATTTGTCCCACACATACTAACAAGTGAAGTCAATATAAAGCTTGTAAAAAAATCACTTTTGCAGATGATACTTGATTATTTGGTTTAAAGTTTTCTGGAACTTTCCAATAACTTTCACAATCTCCTAGAAAGTTCCATAAAATTGTAGAGAGCAGGAGGAATAAATCCAATATCAACATAAAGTTTAGTAAGTAAAGTGATGACATTTGATGGTGCACTTTTACTTTATAGAGGCGTCTGAAGAAGTACTAGTGGATGATCATTTGATGCTATATTTAAACTTAAGATTTAAATTAAGATTAATGATCCCATGACACGAATTTAAATCGAGCTTGAAATTAAGACTTATTTTATGTTGGAATTCATGATGTAAGTAGATTAAGTATCTATTGAATTCAGTCGAAATCACTACGAAGATTAGTAGGTATTTATTAAATAAACGAGTGATGCAATTTGTAAAGCTTTCTGTTTTATGGAAAATGCTTTTTATGAAAACGTGACGCACTTTTAGCATCACCTCAGTCAACGCCAATTCACACATCATCCATATAATTCAAGGAAAAACCCTTTTGGGTTAATTCGGTCCTCGCCGCATTAATTTGCACAGCTAATTTAAACCCTTTACTTTTAACCTACGATGTACAATCAGCAGCACATCAGACGATACAGTTTTGTTGCAAAATAGCACCTATTGCAACGATACAAAAGCTCGCAGTGTTTGGCTTCATGTGCTGGCGTCTGTACATGTATCGAGAGTTGCAAAAATGTTAAATTTTTAGTTTAGTTGTGCAGTGTTTTTCCAAAGCTATTTCACTAAACAAATATTCAGACCCGTAATATGAATTATAAAAGGATCCAAATTCAAACACAGTCCAATATTTTTAATTTCAATATTTCGACTAATCACAATCTATTTTTGAGCGTGAATTCGCTCGTAAGAATCATTTATTAAGGATTTCGATCAGAGTGGTTTGAATTCAAATATAGGCTAATCACATCATCGAATCTATGATTAAGTTAGTATCCATCGCTATAACAGAATATAGGCCTAAGGCCCGGTTCCTACCAAAGCGGAGCAAAGCGGAGCGGAGCGGAGAAGTGTTTTGAGTAACCAATCAGATTTCATTATTTCCATTTGCCGCTACGCTCCGAAACGCGCCGCCACCGTCGTCAAATTCTATACCAAAATAAAATTGACAGCCCGATACTTCTCCGCTTTGCTCCGCTCCGCTCCGTCTTAGTGTAAACAGGGCTTAAGTTTGCGTTATGTAATTGCAAAAAAAATCCTATAATCGAGAGGCACAATCAACAATTTATCAGTCTCGAAAAGACGTTTAGCAATCTAATTTTGCTGTCTCAGCCTGTGAATTGTATTTGATGGTATTCCGATAATAAATTTGAGACACTTTCGGAACTTCAAAGCTCAGAGCTGTTAATTTGGACAATGATTCGTTTATCATATTTTCAGCAGATACTTGGAGGGCATTTAGTCTTCGGTATCGTTTACAGTCTTATTATATCGATATTTTTCGTTGACACATCGATGCATTTCGAATCGATTCAAAAATAATTAACAGATAATTAATAATTTAAGTAAAAAACACAATTTCACATTATATTTTCTTGCTTATAAGTTTCATAGAGCATTCAGTTTGCCAAGTCATTCATGATTACTTGTAATAGCGAAATAGGAACGGTACATTTAGCTTTTCACTTAATTAAACAGTACTACCACTTAGGTTGATTAGCCATTGAAATATTAGTAGAATTGGCTGTCTGAATACGAATATAGGGTTTGATTTTCTTTTATAAGGGTAGAATACCTTTTCATTCCGTAAAAAGTATTTGGACATAATTTATTATTGTTATACCTACTCATGTCTTGTAACACATAATTCTCTACATTTAGATTTTCAACCGACTTCAAAAAAGGAGGAGGTTCTCAATTCGACCCGTGTTTTTTTTTTTTTTTTCTATGTTTGTTACGCGATAACTCCGCCAATTATGAACCGATTTGAACAAATCTTTTTTCGGCGTATAGGTAATACCTCAAGGGTGGTCCCATTTAAATTTAATAATAAAAAAAACAACCCCCAAGGGTGGAAAATTGGGGATGAACTTTTTTATACGCAATATCTCCGCCGATTATAAACCAATTTGAACGATTATTTTTTTGTTGAATAGCTATTATCAAAAGGGTGAATTCATGCGAATTTGAAGAAAATATTTCACCCCCAAGGGTGGAAAATTGGGGATGAACTTTTTTATACGCAATATCTCCGCCGATTATGAACAAATTTTTTTTTGGTCTCAGTGTACTGCCTACCTTCAGTGGTAACATCAAGGTAATAATTAGTTAACTAAAAAGCAAGAAATAAGTAAAATTTTAACATGTAAAGTTTGCCTGCACCGACTCCAAAAGTATCAATCATGGTATACCTACATAAATATTAATAATTCGTCCTAATAAATAAGTAGGTAATTAGTAATTATTTTTCTACGTTTTAGTGTAGGTTTTTTGGAGTCGGTTTTATTTTTTTTTAATACCTACATTTACTTTATTTGAAAAAGTGCGTTTAAAAGTAAAAACAATTATGTTAAAGTACTGATTTATTGAATTGTGTAATTTATTACTTTAGACACCCTTTAAAACGATTTGACCTAACCGCGCTGAAACTTTAGGCTCTTTGATTCGATTAGGCACGCTCTTTTATAATTAAATATTTCAATAGAGGCTTAGCATAAAATATTAAAGGCCTCTTTAAATAAACCATTTGACCTAATAATGAAATATTTTGATGATTTAATATTTTTACTAAAAACGTGACTAGACTTAGTTTCATATAGAACATCACAATGAGCAGCGAGTGACTCTATAATTGAGTAGGCCATTAGTCCATCTGGGAGGTCGACCCTGAAATTCTTATTCAACAATAAGCCCTAAAGCATCATTAGAACTAAAAATACCGTTTAGTCTTTATTCATCATTAGTGAAATCCATAGTTGTCCGAAAAGTGACAAAGTATTTTAGCTGAACTGGTGCTAGGGCACTTCAATAATTTTCATGAGTACCTATCATGGTAAGTACAGACGACAGCACAACAAGCTTAACACTGTGGCAACTTATACAGTTGTAATAGACGCTATTTTGCAACAAAAAATATACCTATGTGTATAGTCTGAGGTGCTGTCAACTGCCCTTTAATTTGCAGTTCTTACTCACCTTTCAAAACTCTTACATATTACTTTCTTCGACCACCCTGATCAGGGCGGGTATTTGTCGCTATAGCGGCCCGGTGACCTGTAACAATTGGTGACCCTTAGAACAAAACAAGACACGTTACAAACTACATAAAATTACTAATAAAACAAAACTATAAATGTAAACAAAATCGCTAGGCGCAAAATTCGGCAGAGAAAAAAATTTAAAATGTCCGAACGAAAATCGAAAAAGTAAACGTAAGCCTCGGGCAAAATCGAGGGTACAAGCTAGTTATTAACATAATTACTAACTAGTAAATTATGCAGTGGACGTCATTTGGCTGAAACGAACGAACGAAATTATATTACAAGTTTGCTTAAAATTCCTTTACTTTATTGCATATTCATGAGTTATTAATTTTAGTAATTAAATAAAGCTAGGTATTTGCATTAATGATTTTTTGATTTATTTAAAAGTTATTTCTAGTATTTTAAATATTCTTACAATCGAAATAATCGGCTTGAAAGAATTATGAGTTTGCTCATTTATTCCTAAAAGTGAATGGTATAATTAACATTTCTTTCTTTTTCAGGTGTGGCAGCAGCATACGTCTGACGCTGGTCTAATGGTAAGTTTTTAAAAGCTTTCCAAACTTTTTCGTATAAATCTCTAATCTAAATCTAGGCTATCCCATTGATGCCAAGGAAATAGCTGCTGTCAGTGTTCTAATCTAAGGGTTTAGTCTAGCCAAATCAGATCTATCCATCGGGTATCTAGATGGTCGACCCTCGCTATACGTGTCAGAGGGCAGTCTTTAATTAAGAACTCTGTAACTTTTTCTTTATTTGTTTGATAAAATTGATCGCCCTCCCAAGTCAAGAATTAAATTTCAGTGTAATTAATTAGGTAAGTACTTTACGTAGGTCGAGAATGTTATCAGTGAAATTACTAAGTATATTACGTACTGAAGTATGTAATAGTACTCATGGGAAAATGCGCACATATCTAATTTCCATCTGCTACCAACATCACTGTCTAGATAATACTCGTTGTGTAATGGGTGGAACACCTGTCACAAACTATACCGATATTGTGTACACCATAACGATCCATTAGCATCGTTAGGGGTTTGACAGGTCATCATTATTGTTTTCATTTATCTAGCTTAGATAAGCATCTGGCAAATGTAAACAATAGGTTTGTAGGTATTACAGTGACGTTCCTTAAATATTGTTAAAAGAATTTGAATACAGAGAAACTATTTATTTATGAGGTTTTGTTATTTTAGGCTGGAGTAAAATATCGTTGACCTAACTTGTATATAACTATGAAAGTTTATTTTATTTATCGCCATCTGATGCTTACTTGGCCTATAGAGCAAGCAATTTTGGGATTTTTTGTTTTCAAATTCTCCTCGCAACGTAAGCTTGATCAATGATACACCAAACGGTCGGGATCACACTTTTTCTATCATCATTCAACATTCGTACAATGAGGAATGACGCATCAATCACATTATTCATAGGCTAAAAACAACGTAGAAAACCTTTTCAGTTAGCGCAATGACTACTCTCCTAACCCTAAAGTAATAGGCCTAAGCCCAACAACAACTAGTGTAAGCAACTGATTTGAATTGATTTCTGCCAATTTCCATTCACACATACGAAACTAAACAGTTGCGGGTGTGCAGATAATCCTTTGAACGTTTAGTTTGCAAATGTTTAGCCCCGGACGGCTGACTCGATCACGCTCATTAGGATTATCATCAGGATTAGCGGGGCTGTATTGATACACTATTGGGTGCAAAAAACAACAAAACTAGGCACAAATAACCTTGAGTCATGAAAAAAATTAGTCTCTAAAAACCTAGTTACTAAAAAACCTAATTACTAAAAAAATGTAATTAGCTACTAAAAAGCCTAATTAGTAAAAAAACCTAAAAAACCGGCCAAGTGCGAGTCGGGCTCGCGCACAAAGGGTTCCGTAGCAGCAAATATAATAAACTTATTATGTCAATTTATACACCTGGTGAATGGAGCCTAAACTCTCCCGATATTTTGCCTTGTACTTTTATGTATGAATATTAATTTTATATATGTATTTATAAATATTCCGAGCTAAAGAGGTGGCAAAAGCAATGGCAAACAAACCACAATCAATAGTATTCGGTTGTCGCTGAACACTTGGAAACTGAATACATGACTCCGATAGATACGGAAACAAGGCTTTTACATATATTTTTTGCGATTTTCCTAGAACACCAACAAGACTATCGTACACACGCAGTATTCCATTAATGTAATAAATACAACTCCAGTGCCCCACTAATCCCACGTCACCGTCATAAATTACTTGAAGGTGCGTCTCATTTTTAGGTACAGGTTCAATCAGTTCAGGGTGTTGAAATAATTCTAGCTCACGCGGTCTAAATGATGTGCACCGAAGTAACTTTTCATGAAATGCGCGAACCACATCATCTTCGATATAGTTATTATAATTCAGAATGTAGGAAAACGTATTATCTAAAGTATCCATTGTTAGATGATATACAATAAGCTTTAGAAATTTTAAAAACCTGCTACGAAACACTAAAATTTGCACCAAAAACAAAGGAATTTATATTATTGGGGGATTTATTAGTACGTGACCGGTTTAATAGCACCTATTAAACCAGTATACCTACTTACTTATTTTTTATAATAGGTACAATTCAATATTAAAAAGTCTCAACGCCAAATTCGACTTGCGAAAGAAGTAAATGGGAACGATGAAATTCTCTTAGCGCGCACAAGTGACAACGACGTCTGCCCTCACGTGTCTGCCCGTTCGGGTCGACGCGGTTAGCTATCTTATCCCCGCTCCCGCGCGAGACCACGCCCCGCAACTCACGCGCTGCAGCGCAGCGAGCGACCGATCTTCTTGAATCGATGTAATAATAATCTATAGGATTAACGCGTTTTAAAAATATTGGTTCGATGGATATGTTTAACCTATTATTACTCAACAATCACATTTGTAATATTAAACTTTATCAAATGCACAATGTATTTAAGGTACATTACTGGATAAGGATTAATGGCGTATTGCTTGAATAAGCTAATATTTCTCGTAAAAAGTACCTACATTATAAAGATTTTATATCATCGCGGATTTTAAAAGGTGTACAATACTGTAGTATATTTTTTGATCTATCTTATAAGGTTCAGCCATCGTTTTCAGTGTAAGCACAATAACTTAACCAAAATTACAGTTAAATCAACCTATCTCAAAAACTATAAGAGATACTTTGATCAAACCAAAAATCGTTGAAAGAGTTAATTAGCATGCATCACCTCTATTTTTTTTAGAATTTTATACCCCGTAGTTATAAAAATAGAGGGGGGGGGACATACTTTTTACGACTTTGAGAGCTGATATCTCAAAAACCGTTCACTTTAAGAAAAATGTTTTTTAGAAAACTTTATATCATTTTAAAAGACCTTTCCATTGATACCCCACACGGGTATGTACATCGAAAAAAAAATTTTCATCCCTCAGTTACATGTATGGGGGGCCCCACCCCCAATTCTTTTTTTTACTATTTAGTGTCATAATTTTGTAGCGGTTCATACAACACATATTCCCATCAAATTTCATCACTGTAGTACTTATAGTTTCCGAGTAAATCGGCTGTGACAGACGGACAGACGGACAGACGGACAGACGGACAGACGGACAGACGGACAGACGGACAGACGGACATGACGAAACTATAAGGGTTCCGTTTTTGCCATTTTGGCTACGGAACCCTAAAAAGGACCACTAGCAATGCGTCATTTATAAATTCTGTCCTGTGATTGGTCTAATAAATATTCAAACAAAACCAATCAAAATCTACGCTTGAAATTGAAAGTTTTGAGCTCCGTTCTTTTTTATGACGTTCATTACCGTCTGAACTTCGAGAACTTTATCTAGGTATCCGTATTTCAGATCAGATTTAATTAAAACACCTACATTATATTCTGCAGAATCTTCAATATGAATAGATATAATAGAAGAAAATAAACGGAAAGCTTGCAAGCCTTTAGTCCTAATGGACCAGTCGCGGCTAGTACGGCTCTGCCTACATAAATTAAATTGCATACTAATGATCAACAAACTACATCAACTTTATGAGATTTCCATTTATTGATCCACACGTAGTTCACGTACAGATTATGTAGGTCGAATTAAAGGCGTTCATTTTATCACTACATACTCGTGCGTCTTGAATACCGACGAAGTGTTTTGATGAAAACTATATACTTAGAGTAAACCTAGTTTTATTTACGTGATTTTACAAGATAGTAGTAACGAATGATTATCGTACAGTTTATCATTCAATAAAAATAATTATTGTTCGAGAAAAACAATTTACTTGATACAAAATATGTGTTACAATATTTCAAGCAATTTCAGGTTGGTTTCAGTCAATTCCATTGCCTACATTTAAGGCATGTCCCAAATTCAACCTCGGTTTACAGACAGAGAATAGCCGGATAATCCTTTTGAACCCTTAGATAAGGAGCTTTGTATAAATTGAAGACCTCTGTTCAGGACTAAGTAAGATCAAGTCGAGTGAAAGTACAAAAATAAACACTCTAATTGTGTGAGAAATGAGAAATGTGGCGATTTATGACCATACGTCTATCGAATATTTTATGTGACCTAACACCAACTAGCTTTTTTGTTAAACAATCTTTAATTGAGCATCTTGTAGTATAGGACACCTAGTTTGGATGTTAATGCCTGCCAATCAAATAAATAAGACAAACGATTCCTAACAATTCCAAAAACAGTCCTTAAGAAATACTTGGCTACGAGTATATAGGTGCCTCATGAAAACAACAAAAAGCTCTTCAATCTGTCTACCCCAACCCTGTCAGTGTGATGGGTTAATAGAACAAATTGTAGTAGGTACACCCCACATTCTTCGCCGACAAATAACCGACAATAGGCAGGAAAAATGTTCACTGAAATGTTCCACAATATAATCCAAAAGGAAACTTGTCTAGACTTTTCTTCCGATGTTATCCTGTTTTATTTCGCGGAAAATCATTTATTTTTACTATCACGTAACTCCGTGTACTTATCAAGATACAAAACCTTTTTAGAAAAGGCCATTATCGTGACCATCTTACCTTTCTAAGGTTGTAATCGTATATGATCTTGTGGCACAGGGTATCATATTTAAATTAGTGGGGAAATGTCTAAGTTGTGCTACTGAAAACCTGATGATGCCAATTTTGTGAGATCTAGTTATGATAGAAGGTAAGTATCTGATTTTATCATTTTGGGCTACTTGGTGATAGTTTTAATTTAACACGATAATACGAACTTTTTGAAATTGTAACTGATGTAACTGTTACTTCATAAGCATAATCAAATGTCAAAGATGTTTTGCTTTGACTTTTGTTTTGATATAAAAAAAATTCAACGCAAGCCATAAATATTTCTTAGCATTTCTCAGATTAGGTGACATCAATTAATAAGGCTGGGTGTCATTTTGTAAGACAATAGGTAATATAAACAAAGCTTACACTCGTATTCCTATCTAAGTTAAAGCTTCCATTGTGTGAGTGACAGATACCGGTTTTTAATTCTTTGCTCGTCTTTTTGATTTATTTAACACCTTTGCTGCGGCAGTAACTTTCTAATACTTTCCATTCCTTCGGTACAAGGTCAGTAAACCTGGTATTAAAACTTACATTGTGGCGGCACAAGGCTTAAAGACCTTGTAATATTTAAGATATATTAATTTTATTTTTGGCTTCATGTTAATAGATATTGTGTTTTTTTTCTTTGAATATTAATAATAATGCATTTATTGACATACACCTGAAGGCGTTCGTGAATAACTTGTTTAGTATAAAAATTATAGCTATATTCAAAATACAAGGCTTATGCACCCTGTGCCGCACTGAAGTAGGGAAGTCTGGTGGGTATTCTAGGGATGTGAAATACAAATATCGATAGTTTAAATTAAGTTTTAATAAAAATTTAAAAAAGTAACAAACAAAGATGTTTTAATAATTTAGTCTAAATATTTTACAAATAAGACATACGTGCATAAATACTTAAATAAGCTATATTTAAAGAAAACATATTATTTAATAACATTCAAATGTTTATCACGAAAAACATTAGGTACTTAAATTAGCAATAAATCGTGTAGCAAATTATATTATAATCAATTTGCAGTTTTGATTTAGTTTGTATCTCTTGACGCCATGTCGACATGTGCGTTTCTTACGAATGCGAGGCAACACTGGCTGCACGAAGCTAGCGTGGGGTGCGGTACCAGGTGCGCAGGGTACAAGGTGCTTCGACCTGGTTTCGCATTGTGAAGACATTTTATTACTTCCGTGCGGTACCAGGTCTAAAAACCTGGTATTAAGGTAGGTACATCATTACATTCTATTTTAAGAATACATCATAGATATATATTCATCACTTTCCTATACCGGACCCAATTGAAGTTATGCCTTTCGCACGACAAGGAAGACTATAATTTTCTTAGCCGCACGGTAAGCGAGACGTACACAAGGTCTATAGACCTGGTTTCGCACTCAACGTGTTAATTAATTATGTTCCTTTATTGTTTCAACTTCTTAGAAAAGTCACTAAATGTAGTTATATTTAGACATTAAATTTTCTTAAAAACGATTTATAGGTAAAATAATATGTCTCTAGCAAAACGCTTTTTATCTCTTGGTAAATGTGGCTGTAATTGGACTGGAAAATTTTATAACAATAGATGTAGGTAATTATGTCTGAAACAATTTGGCAAAGTACAAGGTTTCAACCGAAAAACTCTGCCTTTGAATTATTCTAGATTGCGGTTACGGCGGGGAAAACACAAACATTCTATTATTATCATAATTAAGGTTCAATGCTTTGGGTTTGTTTGTTATTAAACATCTTAATAAACATTGTTGGTGCAAAAATATAAAATATTGCAACTAAAAGTGTTAAGTTCCGTTTACATCGATTAAATTTTCTAAAAATAGTATGTTCTTGCTTGTTATTCTCCTCGTAACCCAGTCTGGACTTTTAGCACGCTAGTCACATAGAAACAATGTGCGAAGGAATTATACGACCTAATTCCACCAGCCCCCTTCCATCACCGGGGAACCAGACGGGAGTAAATTATATCCTGTAAGCCTACCTGTATCTTCTATATTATATTTAAGAGGAATAAATCAAATCGTTTTCATAAAATTGTTTATACAGATTTCCGCAATTTTGTATAACAGAGACTGTATCAATAAGTAGTCTTGGCCCTATTGAAACGAAGCTCAAACTTCAATCGAAACTAAACTACTCGAGTGTCATTTCTGAATAAGGGTTTCAGTGTTCAAAGTGCAGGGTCATCGCATTAATTTAACTTTGCAATAATAGGCAAGCAGAGGCTTAACTAGCAAGTTATAATATTTGAGCTGTCAAGTTAACTGGCAGCGGTCGAAAATGCCATAAGTCTAACAAGCAAAAGTCGAAAGTCTCTCACACAATGGAAGCCTCCATCCGATACCTGCGTTGTGGGCTCCAGCTTGGTGGCGAACTTGGCCGGCTCCTCTGCCGCGGAAAGCATACGCCGGGCTAGCCGCGCGAAGGTGCAGCGGAACTGCCGGCTCATGCTGCAGTACAGCACGAAGTTCACTGATGACGTGAACAGGGCTAGCACATCCATCAAGTCACCTGGTGAAGAAACAGTCAGTTTTAGCACAGAACTTTAGCGCCAGGGCGATGACATTCGGGTTCTGGAAAAGTATTGGGCGGGAAATCGAGAGAAAGAAAATAAAAGAATATCGATACTTATTATTCCTCGAAAAAAGAACGGTGTTTCTTAGTAGCCAGTGTCACGCGGCCAATGAATAGACCATAATACTCGTATTGTGTAGTTTCCCGCCCGTTTCGCCCGTTTCCCTTAGAGTAGGTGCACACCGTTGATTTTTAGTTGGCCGATAGAGTTGTGCCGGATTTCAAATTGTATGAAGAATCGGCCAAATCGAATCGGCGTAGTGTGCGCACTCCCATACATGCCCATACTGATCAACAGCCCGACTAAACTATCGGCCGACGAAAAATCAACGGTGTGCGCCTACTCTTAATCAATCCTTGTTCAAATCCGGATTTCAACTGTCAAAAATTCATCTTTAGATTAACATATCCACAATATTCGATGCGTTTACACTTTAATATTAAATAGTCATAGACCAATATGAACATATTTTGACCAAAAACATATTGAAATTTGACAGTTGAGGAAGGGATTTGGATTAGGATTGAATATAGGAAACCAGCATTGGACAAGTAGGATTTACAGCATGGATGCAATTTCTCAAATTTAAAGCGAACCAACAAAGATATTCTTTACATTTCGCAAAAAAAATAGGAATTAAACCTGTCACTTAAGTTACCTAGAGGACTATATTTTGTTACTATGGGGGAATTTTCCTTTAATGAATATAAGGAAGCTTATGAATGTGAAGCTACATCAATTATTATCAGAGAGAGTTTTGCGGTCAATTAGTGTTGCCGCATACTAATTGCGACTAAGAGTGGATAAGCCGATCATTAAGAACTAGGTGCGGTTCCAGTGGCAGGCCTTTTAACAGCCGAATTTAAGCCAATTAGGATCTAATTTATGAAAGTTACACACAATTTTCCGTTCCATTTAATAATTTTCATCTACGGTCTACGGCTCATACTAATATTACTTAATTAGCAAACTAGGTAAGTATATTAATTAAATAATAACGGCAGATACTTTTACAGTTCAATTCGTACGCGATACAATAAAAACAGTATTCTTTCGGGTTGATCGTTTATGCCTAATCCAGAAATTGAAAGACAATCATCTGTAAAATCATTAATTGGGCGCATGATATTCTGTTCAAACAAGAGATATTATTTAAAGTTAGGACTCACAAAAATTCCGGAATCTTTCTCACAACTTTTTCCGTGCAGGTTGAATTACATAGAACAAAATAAAAATAAAACACCGGGCAGTTAAGTTTTGTTGACGAAGAACCCACCTTAACGATCTTCTCTTAACATTACTTTTAATGTCGACAGCCAAAATCCTGGACCCTTGTCGTGTTTCAAACTTTACGCAAAGGATTGCTCCTTGCTGCCTTTTGTGAGTTAGATTTAATATAGCTTTCATTTTCATTCCTATCTGGTATATTAATTCTACCATTACTATATTAATTCCAATATACTATAGTAATTCCACCGATCTACCCGACAGCACTTCCACCCCCATCACTTAGATGGTTGGCAGTCCACAATAGTACGTTTCTCTAGAAACTTCCTGCCCCGTACAACCAAACTGTGGAATGGACTGTCCGGACGGATACGACCTGCAAGCATTCAAGAGGAGAGCGTATCTTTATCTTAAAGGCCGGCAACGCACCTGTAACGCCCCTGGGTCTGCGGGTGTCTATGGGCGATGGTAATCACTTATCATCAGGTGATCCGTCTGCTCGTTTGCCTCCTATCACATAAAAAAAAATCTCGTAGGACATTTATATTGCGAATTCTATATTCGTATGATGAATGTTGCTATGAGATAAAATTGAAATAGGTGGACATTTTAGGACTGTAACTTAGTCCTTAGAATATTTATTTTATAGATAGGTAACTCAGCTTTTGTACTGAACATTGTTGTGTGTGCAATAAAGTCTTTAAATAAATAAAATAAATAAATAACTCTTTATTGCACCCCACATAAAACTGTCACATGAAACTAATGTAAAATGAAACGCCACAGTTTAAGCGGTTTTATCAAGGATCTAAGTATTTAAAGAACAAACTGGGACTTTCAACGAAATACAATGCGGAATGTTACTTTGAATAATGTTTTTCCCAATCCATATTGTAACAACAAATCAGTTAGTTATAAATAGTGATGTATATTTTCAGAGGTTTCAATTCAACCTTGGTCCCATTAAGGACTAAGATGGCCGTTATTTGTGTCAAATAGGGTATTACATGTTATATTATTTTATTGAACAGTACCGAATAGGCTAACCCAAAGGCAAAACAAAAACAGTGTCAAGCCGATGACATAGAGAGATGGATCGTGTGTATCTGTAGCTTATCGAATTTAGCATTATTTGGCAACCACAGTCTCTTAACCAGATGATGTATCTGCCTTCACGTGTCGTCTGGGCGAATTGGAAAAGGGAAATAAAACAGAATTCCCCGAAATAAGTATACCTGCATCGTGAACTTAAAATAGCAAACCCTAAAAAAACATTTAAGTACTAGAAGATGAATATGTTACTGTAAAAGCTCGAACTATGGTTAATCTTAAGATTTAAGTGGAAGTCTTAGGATTTACCGACATCAATTGGTAAATGTAAGAATTTCTGAAAATACGACGATTTTTTCGAGCTTTTACCATTCGAATTCAGTATATGCTAGGTTTTACCTCCGTCAGCTGGTAGATGTTGGTTTTAGGAATAAAACAATGAGTAATTATTAATTACTTACTTTAATCAATTATATTATTAGACAAAACAGGTACATAGTATTATGAAGGTATCATATGATTTGATTTGATTTGATAGTAATAAGTACAAACTAATACCAACTTCTTATATTCGTTTTGTGTTGTTATTGTTTATAATTTGTGCTTACTGTGTTCAATGAATTATATTTCTTCCTTTCTTTCTAACTTCTTTAAATTATTTTGAAAAACCGGCCAAGTGCGTGTCGGACTCACGCACAAAGGGTTCCGTACCATTGATTTATGAAATTATTATTTTTTTATTTAAGTTATTTGTATGAAAGATTACGCGGTAATAAGCGGTTTACAGCGGGTGGAGGCCGCGTACCGGAAAACGCAGCGTGGGACGTCCACCTACAAGGTGGACCGACGACATCGTAAAGGTAGCAGGGAAGCGCTGGACGCAGACCGCTGCCAATCGATCAACATGGAAAGCATTGGGGGAGGCCTATGTTCAGCAGTGGACGTCCTATGGCTGAAATGATGATGATGAAGCGGTTTACGATTTACGAGGTATTAAAAAAATCTACTTACTAGATCTCGTTCAAAACAATTTTCGTAAGTAGTTTTTATAGTAATGTACATCAACTGTTTTTTTTAGATTTTTCATTTTCTTATTTTGGATGTGGAGGGGGGGACCAATTTTTTTCCACTTTGGAAGCGTCTGTCACGCAAACTGTTCGGTTTAGAAAAAAAATATCTTAGAAACCTCGATATCATTTTTGAAGACCTATCCATAGATACGCCCCACGTATGTGTTTGATGAAAAATAATTTTTGAGTTTCAGTTCTAAGTATGGGGATTGGGGAGCCCCCAATATTTTTTTATTTTTTTATTTTTGCATCAAAATCTTAATGCGGTTCACAGAATACATCTACCTACCAAGTTTCAACAGTATAGCTCTTATAGTTTCGGAATAAAATGGCTGTGACATACTGACGGACAGACAGACAATGACATGACGAATCTACATATAAAGGTTCCGTTTTTTGCCATTTGGCTACGGAACCCTAAAAATACATAACGTATAGGTATCTCTGAATATCTCAATCTCTATCATATCAATTAGCTTTTCTTCGCCGCCTATAGTCAAAATATCATAGCATTTTATACGCCTGTATGAACAGCTTCCTTCTTTTTAATGTTATTTGCAGTTTTTACATCTTCTAAACGGCTGGCATGTTTTGTTTTTCAACATTTACCGTGCCATTAATGTAAATCCTAAGATTTACCAACGAAATGGTGGTAAGAGTTCGAATCACATAACCTTTTGGGACATTTACCATTAGGAATTGGTAAATCTTAGGTTTTACTGGAATATCTTAGGATTTACTGCAATTCGAGCTTTTACAGTAACAAATACATTATTCAAATGAGCATTACTTAATCTGATCTACTAGTGGATCTCAATAGCGCACGAATGATTAAACTCTAAACATTCGTTACTCGATATAAGTGCTTAGCTCATCAGTCTCCATTTTCCACAGCATTTGAGAGACCTGAAGCTGACTTTTATTTGTTTTTTAGGCAGTTCTTTTATTGTAATGTCTCGATATCCCTTTTCGATTGGAGCACGTACTTCGGGACACTTACCGCCACCTGCGCATATCGATTCCACTTTCAACTGGAAACAAATGAATTCATTTTTTACGTCACACTAGAGATCGTTCCAGTCTATATTTTCAGCACTTCGCTTATTTGAATTTGAACAATTCATTCTATAGACTTGAAGCTCAAATTAATATTTATTGATTTGATGGCAAATAAAACTGACTAGACAAAATACTAATATATTTTATTCTTTAATTTAGGTTATTTATAAATAAATAAATAAATAAATATCTTTGGACAATCTCACACAGCTAAGATAAAGTTAAGTTTTACTGTAAAATGCTTATTTTGGTGGGTTTTAGGTGGGTACTTACTGTTAGGTATTTCTTTTCAGTTCCACGAACGTTAACGACTTGTAAAAGTTCGTATAATTTGTAAAGTCCTGCCATTCTTTTGAATACATTTATGGTTAATTACGTTTTTATTTCTTTTGTATTTGGTTATGGTACCTAAACGAAATTGTATATTAAAATGAATGAGTACGAAGAACTCATGATTACTCAAAAGAATTCAACTGAAAAAGAGAGGAAAGTTAAGTGAAATAAATTATTTATCCAACAGCCTTTATTTA